CACGTCTGTGGAACACACTCCCTGAAACACTGAGAGCACCTCAGAGTGTTGAATGTTTTAAAAAACATCTGAAGACATTTTTATTTACACAAGCTTTTCCAAACTGATTGGTAATGCTGTTGTTTTGCCATGTGTTAACTTTGCATTGTATGGTTTTATGTGTTTTAATTTGTTTGTATTCATTGTTTTTAATTATTCCTTACATTGTTTCTGATTTCCTACTGTAGCACTTTGAGATTTCATTGAAATGTAAAGTGTGTTACAAATCAAATCTATTATTATTATTATTATTATTATTATTATTATTAGAAAAATTGGATAATAAATTAGTTTTAGAATAACAATGACTATTATTTTTTTCTTTTCTTACACAGTTTTAGTAAAAATTTGCTTTTTACCTGACATGTTTCAGCTATAGCCATCATCAGAGAGAAGTGGATAACGAAGATAAACCCCAAATGGACATAAAAGAGAACCATGAATATTTGTTCTAGCTCACAATTAATGATAATAAATGAATGAAGTCACACAATATGAGAAAGGATAAGTTTAATATATAATAAATTATAACTCCAGTGCTGCGCTTCAGCTGCCAGGTCCATAAATAAAAAAAATACCGCCATGTAATACCACTTTAATAGTTGTAATGGGTATAATGTACGTATGAATTTTTATTAGAGGCTCTAGAAACTGTGTTTTATTGTGTACACATCCTAATTCACTTGCAGCTTATAGGCCAACATTCATTAAACATAAATGAGAATATGAATCACTGTTTTAAGACAGCATGTATGAAAAGAAAAATCCGGAGAAAAAGTTTGTTTTTGTATTGTTATGAAAACAGTTAACTAGTAATTAAATAATACACAGCACTCCACAAGGAACATTTTTTAGTCCTCCATCTTTTGAGGTTAACTTTCTCTTTATTATTTTGCCCTGAGAAAGATTTCAGCACCGTGCCAGTCCTAAAAGAGAATAGGACCTTTGCAATAATCAGGTTTTTTAAAGCAAGTGGACATAAATGCGCAGATTGAAATGTGGCTGACTTTAAAGTTTTTGGTGTATTTTCTATTTTTAAAAAAATAGCAGATTTAGCTCTAATAGTGTCGTGCAGATGAGCCATGATATCATATTTGTGTTTAAATCAAATGTTCAGAAAGTTAGTGTGTTGAATGTTAACCAGTGTTCATCCACCGCCTGCCTGCCTGCACCGCTTGTGTCCAGCTGTGAGAGGAAAGCCTCAAACATCAACTAAAATCTTTACACTGACTTTTATCAGCAGCAACTTGATGGTTTAGTAACAAAACACATTATAGTCTAAGATGTCGAGCCGATGCATGATTGGGAAATAAGCAAAAGAGTGCGTTTGTATAATTTAAGCTATATTAATTAAAACCCAGGCTACATCCAGATAAGAGTACTCACCTGCCACGGAGAGAACCAGGAGAGGCAGCGCTGCTTTCACCGGGACAGCCATCGCGCGCCCCTCTCCAGCGCAACACTCTGAACTAGATGGGCAGACTCCTGCGTGTTTTCTGGGCTGCTGCGGGAAGACCGTGACACACACTGTCAACTAAAACGGTCTCGTCGTGAGATTTCCTGCAGCTGGCCAGCGGTGGCTGAAGCTTGGAGACATGGAGAGGAGCTCCAGCTCCGGAAGAGGATGAATGTTTTCTGCCAGAGCGCACCGCTGGTCCTGGAGCTGGGATTGCGCGGAGTGAAACCACAATCCTAGTCAAATCTGCTTGAAGGATAAAAACGGGTTTCTGGCGATTTTGGTGATAAAATGAAGGATTTGTCCTGATTTGTCCCCGCTGCCCAGCGCAGTCTCCCACCAGGCTTCGGTTTCACTCCCCAGATTGAACATGTGTCAACAAACAGGAAGCGATTTACTAAAAAAAACACACCCAGGGATGGTCTTAAACCACTCAGGAGACACTGGAGCTAATCTCCCCCAATAAATCAGAGTTAATTAGTTTACATTTAAGTTAATTGACTTTATTCATTTATTTTGTTGACCTAGTATGAAAAGATATCTCACATATTTATCTAGCATCATTAGTATTTCAGAACGTGATGTAGCTTTGGGACAAAAAGCTTTATTTACTATCTGCTCCGAAGCTTCTGTCCGTTTAAAACACGAATCTGCTGTGTGCAGAGAAATAGAGAAAAATAAATATGACTGCATGGACCAACAGCAGATGTGAATATGAAGTGATGCAGTGATAACAAAGCTGCAGCAGATCAATATTAAATTAACTGTTAATATTCATCAGAGCACTTTATGCAATAAAATCCACAGTTATGAGGACCAACCAGAGTGTTCCTGCAGGTGTCCTCAATTTTCTGTTACCCATTGAGGGAGAAATGTGTTAATGCCTTCAGTGTTTAGTAAGGTCATGCACATCTTGGTTCTGAATAGATTTAAAGATTATGTGGATTTTGAACACACCGGCCATCTTTCTGTGAGTCACATAGCTGCTAATCTTTCATCCCAAAGCTTCAGGTCCACACGTATTGCACAGATTTAGGTAAATCTTGATTACAACATGAGATGTAATACACAAAAACACAAAATGCAACATCTAACATTGATTTAAACCTAATTCTTATTCTTCATTCGGTTTCCTTAATATGGACAGATCAAGGGTTTATATACAAGTTTCAACAGCATCTGCCTTCCTCAGATGTGTCACTCGGTGTTGATGTGATGGTCTGTCAGATGTTTTGTGTAAAATAAAAACGTTGATCTGTTGCTGTTAAAGAAACAGAAAAATGTGCAAAAATGAGATTAAATTAGCATCATAATTCTAATTCTCGTTCAGTTCTGTGTAAGAAAAAAGAGAGAGAATTTTTCTGCAGTTTATGTTCATAAATACATAATCTACTAAATGATCCACCATCCTCCCATCACACCCTGTTACAGCCACACCTCAACAACATGTGAGCATTAGTTTCCACTCGTCCCCCTAATGAGCATAATATGTGCATCCTAAAAGCAATGGAGGGGAGGCCAGATTTAATCACAGCTACTCACTGTGGGGTCAGCTGTAGAGCATTGTGGCCAACACGTGACAAGGAGGAAGATCTTTGATCCTGCTTTTTCTGCTCACTGAAGCTGATATATACCAGTATGCAGCACCTGTCAAAAACAGTCTCTGACCTATTTAGATGGATCTGAATCACTGAGGTTGCCACAATGACCTCACTGACCTATATCTCTTCATCAGATAAAGCCACATCAATCAGAAAACATGAATTATGAGACCAGGAAACCTTCTTTTGTGGTATCAAAGTCAAAGAACTTTTTGTTTTATTTATTCATTAGTTTGTACATGTAGGATTTTTGTTGTATACTGCAAAAATGCCCTCTATCAAGGTGCTTTAAACTGGCAATACATGAATCATAATCTTCTATGAAAAGGACACAAATAAAGTGTGCTCAGAAATCATTCTTACGGAAAAAATAAAATATAAAATCTACATTTTGGGCAGAGAGAGGGGAGACGATGGACTGAATCCAGAGGAGATTTAGCTCACTTTGGACTATCCATAACTCCAGCAATAAGCAGGGGTTATTACTGGGTTATTACGGCCTAGATACATTTTAAGAGGGCACAGTTACATAATGGATCAAATTCTTGTGATTGATGTAAATCATAATAATAATAATTGCTTTTGGAACCTTGAAATAAATAAAGAATCTGCTAAAAACATAAATAAACAAAAACTTGTTTGATAAATCTAAAACCTCCAAAAAGAGTCTTGATACAAACAACCGACCAAAAACACCTCATGGAATTACACTAGAGTAGTCTTTTCTTTTTTATCATCATTTTTCTCTGAGAGGATGTTTGGATCCATCTTATAATCCATTAAAAATGATTATCTATGTGTTCAACTCTCATTTAGCCTAGACACTCATCATACACTCAGTCAGGTGTTCACAGCTATGTATTCACACACAAGCCTAATCTAAACCTGGTGTCAAATGTTCCTGTTGGTATATGGCAGCAAACACATCAAAATTCAGGATTAGCCCATGTTGCATTTAATTTAATTTAAATTAACTGCATTTGTTTCCTGTCCTCCTCACCAGCCTCTGTGTCATCTGATGCTTGTTTGCCTCCAGGCAGCGTACTCAGTAACCGTGTGCCCTGGTGAAGTGACCAATTCCGCCGCTGTATTAATGTCATCATAAATCCGTATCACTGGGGGATATCTGTGTCTTGAACTGACAGCACGAGACGGGCTTTTTTATATTTCATTCTGGTAACCTGTCACAGTTGGTCAATGTCTTGTTCTACTACAGAATCAGTATGAGAGGACATCATCTCTTCTCATTTTGTCATCACAGTTTTCTCCAGGGGCTTTTTGTCCTTTGGCATCACCCACAGCCATTAGGCTTTATGTTTCCTGTTTGTCCTGTTTGTCTCTTTATCTGCCTCCTCCTCCTTTAACCTGATCACACCTCCTCCCTGAGCTCCTCCTCTCACGTTTTTTGTAGGAGGAAAATCACGCAATCATTGGTACATTATTGTCTGAGATTTTCAAATTTCCATCCACTTTTATGCAGATGGTAATTACAGCTCATAATAAAGTTAATACTGTCATGTCCAGAGCCTTATTGTGCCTCCTTGTCCCTTAATATTCATATTATATATGCTGCACCCAGCCACTGTACCTTCTTGCCACTCCTCTGCCCCATCCTTCAGTGTTTTCTCCTCTATCATAGATTTCATATTATTCATATTCATGCATTATTTCTCCCAGCCTTTAGTTCAGTTGTATTTATGTTTTCATTTGAATGTGTTCTGTTTTGTTCTACCTATTTCTGCCTCATGTTTTACTTTTGCCCCTTACTTAGTTTAGTTCTTTCAGCATTTATTTCTATTATCGTCTTGTTTTTGTTACTTTGTCTTATTGTTTTAGCTGGCTCAGTTTCAGCTGCTTCAGTCCGTTAATCCCACCTGTAGGCTCTTTGTCATTAGCAACCATCTCACCTGTTTCCATTGTCTTAGTTTACATTCCCTATCTATATTATCGCAGCTCGTTCTCTGTTCCATGTCGGTTCCTAATGTTGGCTCCTTGTTTTGATCGAGCTCCTGAGTTTTGAAATAAAGACTTTTTTTTTTTGGTTTTTACCTCACCTGGCTGCTTCCCTGATTGTCTTCTCATCTCACCGCATTTGGGTCCTACCTAAAAAGCATGACAAAGACTGGGACTTCGTTTTTAGAGCCAGTCTTGTTTTTCTTTTGAAGACAAAATTAGACAGATTGCTGTCACTGTCGTGCCTTTGGTGGATAGTGGCGATGTCTTGTACAAGTACTTTTCCTCTTTCCTCTTTCTTTTCACAGCACACAAAACCGGTGTGTAATGAAATAGAGGCGTTTTACCCACGAGGTCCCTTCCAACCAGGAGCAGTTCTGACACAAAACAGGAGAGAAAGCGTTCCACACAGCTGGTCCCGTGAGGTCACAAAATTATTGGAGAACTGTAACACCATGCGTGATTTCAGAAGTTCCAAGCAAGGAGAAAGACGGTTGCAAAAGATCTGTGGCTTAGTCTCTATTCTGTTTACCTTAGCTCTGGGGTTTTTGCCTGCACATGACTTTTATTGTAATGTTTCCAGATGTTTTACACTACTTTCATGTTTGACTTCCTCTCTGGCCCGATCTAAACTGTGAACAACTCCATTTTCCTCGAGTCTTTGGGGGTAGGTCTGTGGCCCCTCACACTCACTATTGAACACTCCTATACAAAACCTTATTTACACAAGTGCGTATGCACACATGTTCTCTCACATGGTGCTCTCAGAAGTATGGACTTGGGAGTTTTTGACACATAACCTGAGGCTGTGGTTGGCTCTAAATGCACTATGAATTATTACTATGTGCTTTGCAGCAAAGATTGTTTCTGTTGTATCTTTATTTATTTATTTATTTATTTATTCATTCATTTATTTATTTACTTATATTTCTAGAGGATAAACCCCCTTGAGATGCATCATCTTGTTTTCAAGGCGGTCCTCCTTTAAAACACAGAAACAATGAGAGATAGCAAGACTATCAGTGGCATAAACCAAAACTAAGTAATACATACAGACCTAATAAATTGAGCAAGAAACAAACTAATCATACAAAAATTTAAATAAAATAAACAAGTAAATAGGATTAAAATAAATAAATAAAAATAAACACCTTGCTTTGTCAACCTGAGTATGTGACATCAAGTACCAAACTCTAAAACAATTACAGATACAAGAATATGTGAATAGATGGAAATTTTAAATTGACCAAAAGAAGTAATCAATTGTAGAGTAGTAAAATGTAGTGCTTTAAAGCTTAATATATTACCTTTACGTATGACCAATAAGCTGTGATACTCTATTTAAATATAGAATATCAACCTGCTTGGTCTTTGGATGTTTAATCAGAAGATTCTAGGATTCTTTGCTTTTTCAGGGATTGTAGAACAATTCGTCTTGATTCAAGGAAAGAGTCAGGTTTATAAAAAGTAAGAATTTATTTTCCAAACAATTAAAAACATGACAAGTTAACTAATATTATTGTGGATGGATGGATCTAGGTGGATGGAATGAGATGTATGGTAGCTATATGTGAATGTGATGTTATCAGAACTTTCATATCTAGAAGAAATGAGTTCTGGGTGTAAAAGGAAAGAATTTGGTTTGCGTTAAGCTACAAAGTTGATTCTTATCAAAAAGGCATCAGACGCTCTGTGTGTCTACCTCACCCTTTGGAAGACCCTCTTCATGGATCCGAAGGTCAGAGAGGTCGGATGACCTCTGGGACCGAGGTTGTAGAATGACCGCAGCACCGACTCTCCAGTC